GGGGAGAGGCCTACGTTCCTCCTACTGAAACAACCCAAAACAGCCCGAAGGGTCTATGACCAGCCAACAGAGATTGCTGCTGACAGGTCTAGGGATCGAGTCCAACAAGGCTCAAAATAAACAGGCAAACACAGCCAACAAGCAAACAAGCAAACAAACAGGTTGCGGGATCAAATCCCGAAGGACTCAAAACCAGGCAACATCAAACAAGGTTAGTGTACAGCTCGCATGCCACTGCAATTCATTGCAAGACAGTGTACTATATCCTCCTGTTCGTTACCTGGGCATACCGTACACTAGTCCGAACTGTTCGGATCGTTGTTCTTTCTTCGGACATGAAGCCAGGCATTCACAGGGAGGACGTTGTAGGTGATCAGCCATTGGAGACTTCTTATCTTGACTGGGCGCATTGACTTATACTTTCGCCAAGGGAGTTCTGAAATTGGTTCTATTCTTTGTCCCAGCACTTTCGTCCATCTTTCTTTGATTACTGGCTCGGGGTCTTTGGTTCTTAGAAGCTTTCTGTATCCCATCTTAACTGTGTATTGCATTATCTTAGAGGGGTTCTTACAGAATCTGTTAGCTTCCGAGGGCCAAGCCCATTCTTCTGGGTCAAATTCAAGGTCTTGGATTGCCGTCTCCGTATGGAATATAGTTTTCGGCCAGCTTCCCAATACTCTCACCTTTCTTAAGGTTTAGGAGTTCAGAGTGACTTCTTGTGGGTCAGCGTTCTGAATGGCAAGGGGTTTGGGGTTCGATCGATCTATGGGGAAGGAGATAAAGACTCCTGCGCGAGCCGAACCAGGAGATCTGTGATTGGATTGAGACGCTTTCACTGGTACTGTTTCCTGTGTTAGCAATCCCCATTCCCCTGCTTTCCATGAAAAGTCTTCTTTCAATAGCTCTTTCCAACTGTCAGGGATGCTGTTGACCAGGGCTGATAGATTCTCGTCTCGGCGGTGACAGCCCCTTAGTCGAACCTTCTGCTGATTCTCATCAATCCAGTCTTTTTTCTCTTCATCCCAGATGTGACTCACCTTCCAGATCCCGTGCTTAATCCAGGAAAGCCATCTCTGACTTCCTACTAACGACAGAGGCTGGTCTCCTTCGTCTTTAACGTTCAGGTTCCCGAAAAGAGGCTGCCGCAACACCTCTTCTTTGGATTTGGGTTTCTTAACCTGTTTAGGCATTATCTCCCTCCAAATCCTGAGAAGTGCTGTCCAGTAAGGGGTGGGGGGCTGTGCATCGTCTTGCTGCGAAGTTTCCCGGTGCCTTCTCCTGCCTGTTTTCAGAGCCCAATCCTTGTTCATTACCCAGAAAAGGCCTGACATATTATCTGGGGTTTGAACTGGGGCTATAGATCTGATACTGTCCAGGGCCAACTTCTTGTTCGTCTTCTTGTTCGTCTGATATTTGTGAAAAGGCCTGACATATTATCTGGGGTCTGAACTGGAGCTATAGTTTTCGTCGTCTTTGTCTTCTTCGTCTTCTTGTTCGTCTTCTTGTTTGTCTTCTTGTTCGTCTTCTTGTTCGTCTTCGTCTTCGTCTTCGTCTTCGTCTTCGTTGTCTTCGTCTTCGTCTTCGTCTTCGTTGTCTTCGTCTTCGTCTTAGTCTTCTTCGTCGTCGTCTTCGTCGTCGTCGTCGTCTTCGTCTTCGTCTTCGTCTTCGTCTTCGTCTTCGTCTCCGTCTTCATCTTCTTCCTCGTCCTCTGCTTTGTCCTCCTCCTCCTCCTCCTCCCCCTCCTCCTTGTTGCTGTTGTTGTTTTGGAAAATTCATCCTCTGAATGAAATGCAGCCTTATGATGGCTATGGTTTATTCTTTCTTTCCTTCTTTCTTTCTTTCGTTTTTTTTTTTTTTTTTTTTTTTTTTTTTTTTTTTTTTTTTTNTTTTTTTAATTTAATAAAGAACCTTATGGCTCTGGCTCCTACCATTCTGGGGAGCAACAGTCTGGTTCCTATTCCCCTGGCAAGTCATGTTTTTTTGGAATTTCAAATTTTTGCTATATATGCATTTTTATAGGGTTGCTGTATATGAAATTTGGGGTTATTTGGAGTTTTAGAATTTGCGCTGTTAAGATTTCTGAAATTTCTGAAATTGGTCGAGTTTTTTTTTGGCCAGATTTCATGGAAATGCACTTTCGGGTTGCTGTTGTATATGTTTTTAATTGCTTTTTTTAGGGTTTTTTTCTGTGATGAGGTCGTAAGAAGTGCACTCTATAGATTGGTGTAAAGTATCGTTAAAATGACCATCTGGTTTTCTTATAAATGGGCCTGAAAAATGGGTGCTCGGTTAACCTGCTCTCATGGGAGGCCCGAGAAGGCGGCATTGATTACTTCCATGAGGAAGGATATACCACCCCTCTCCCCTGCCTAAGTTATCCTATCTTACGTCGTCTATTCAAGCGTACTGTTGGTCCGCTAAGCCTTTTCCTCTCAGGCCCTGTAAAGGAACCTGCCGTATATATCC